TTATATAACCTGTAAAATACGTATTATAATCTACCAAATCACAGAACTTTAATTTCAGTTGATAAAATAATATATTTGATGGGTGGCTAATGTTTTCTGGTGATAATTCCTACTGCATAATTCTTACAGCTCTTTTCTGCAAAATAAAAATAGTATTTTTTTACTGTTTTACATGCAATACAGTAGATCAAGTGTGGAACAATTATTGCATTATACAACATATACAGAGCTTTATCATTGAATAACTCTCTTATTTTATACAGTGCTGCAATAGATTTGTCTGTTTTTATTCTTCAATAATTTATATGAGCTCTCATGTCAGCTTTTCATCAATGATGACACCAGAAACTCCACCTCACTGACTCTACAGATCTCACCACCATCAACTCTAAATGAAACATCATCAGTTCTCTTACTGTTACTGGATATCATGTAGTCAGTTTTATTCAAATTTAATGATAATTTATTATGTTTAAACCAAGTTTGTATTTTTACTAATTCTGTCTGTATCATCTCCAACATTTGTTCTATATCTTTACACAAACAAATGAATGTAGTACCATCTGCAAATAAAACACTTAAAAAGTCCTGACACATTTACCGACTCATTCACTTACAATATAAATAACATAGGTCCAAGTACAGAACCCTGAGGAACTCCGCATGTCATGTTATAAAGTTCAGATCTTACATTATTTATTTGAACAAACTGTTTTCTGCCTTTCAAATAACTACCACTGTAGTGCTGGACCTCTAATGAGGTTCTGGTCCTGATCCTGGCGCGAGCACTGGTCCTGGTCCTGGTCCTGCTGGGTGGACAGGTGTTTCCCTGTGGTTTGGAGGTTAAAATTCAAAGCTGTGACATCCTGTGCAGAAACAAACGGCCTCCTGCTGACTGTTCAACACATTAATGMTCCGAGTTTGTTCTGACAAACGCAGAGGAACAMTGGAGCAGCAAACACCATCTGTGTGTGTCTGTGTGTGAGTGTGTGTCACACAGATTCCTTCAGAACTTCCTAGAAGAGTGCACGTGTGTGCATTAACATACGTATAGAGCGGAGTGAGGCTGATTTCATTTCAGATGATGTTTTTGTTTCCGCTGCAGTAACCAGCCYCTGATTAAACTTCTGCTTCTGACAGGAACACGTTTAAACTCTTCCACACACATTTCATCAGGTGTGTGTGTGTGTGTGTGTGTGTGTGTGTGTGTGTGTGTGTGTGTGTGTGTGATAAGAGAGAAAT